CTAATATGCCATTCTTCTGGATTACTGTGTCCTTTTAAAGGACTTGGGAGTCTTTTTTTTCCCCTGCTCTTCTAGTAGTTGTAATGCTTTAACACCCGTCAGGAGCAGGGTATAAGGCTCTTTTGACCAGTAGTTAATTGACAGGAACTGGAAGATAAGGATTTTTCTCCAGTGGGTGTTTGCCAAAGGTTTGTTGCACTCTCTTGATTTGAGGAATGTTGAGGGAAGCCTTTCTTACATGTGAGCTCTCTTTTATTCCCATTTTGTAATTTTCCACTTTGCTTCAGGCATCAGGGGAACACATGGAATTTCCCGGAACTTTACACAAGTGGCAGGGACACTTCTGTTTCCTTGCCTAGTGAACCCCCGTGGCTTTTGTTTTGCAGGCGTGCAATTACCCGCGAGCACACCCATACACACACACCCTCTACAACCTTGGGAATGACTGAGTGGTCTGTTGGGTCTGCATCTTTCTCAGGCACCTAGTGATGCCCCACAGTTGCCTCGAGGTCGGAGCTCTTCTCCTGGCTCCAGCTCTGGGCCTAAGTTATTTTGGTAGTTGAGTCATCCCAGCAGGGAACTGGAAGGAAGAAGGGATTAGGAGCTTCCCCTTCAGCTTTCATTGCCACACATACATACATCGTGTTAAATGAGGACACTTGCTTTTGATAGATCCTCTCTTCCACAGTGGGATTTAGCTGAATGCAACATATTTTGAACTGTGTTTGCTTTAGATACTATTTGAACAGCTGCTGCTGCTGCTAAGTCACTTCAGTTGTGTCTGACTCTGTGTGACGCTGTAGACAGCAGCCCAACAGGCTCCTCTGTCCATGGGATTCTCCCGGCAAGAATACTGGAGTGGGTTGCCATTTCCTTCTCCCATTTGAACAGCAGTACTTGAAAATGAAAATGTACACTAACAGAATCAGAATGGGATCTCTAGAAGGTAGATACTGAGCAAAGGCAGAAGAAATGAGTGAACAAGGGGCCTCTGAGGACAATAGAAATTGAACTGGAAAGACAGCATTTATGGTGGATTTGGACCTGAGAAGAAGGAAGAAAGCAGGATTGTGGCCAGAACAGTGTTATCGAAGGGGTTTCTTTGGGAATGGCCAGATCCAAGTATACCACATAAAATTACTTACAAAAGTAAAGTTTGTGGGGTTTTTTGGCCACGCCACATGGCATGTGAGATGTTATTTCGCCAACCAGGAATCGAACCTATGCCCCTGCAGTGGAAGTGCAGAGTCTTAGCCACTGGACTGTTGAGGAAGTCCCTTGACTTTAAAATAATGTAATTTTAAAACCATACTGATGTTTGCTAAAATATCAGAAACCCTGTTCTTCACTGCTCTGTCTCCATCTGTGATGTGTCTGTGGTTACTGATGCGAGTGTTGAAGGCCCCGGGTCGCCGCAGTAAGCACTGACTACTTCCTGTGTACAGCTTGTGTGCTGGGGCTATAATAGGATGTTCTCTCCCCAGCTGAGGTACGCACAAGGTGGTCATCGTTTGCATACGTCAGAAGCCAGTATTTCCTTTTACTTTATTTGATTTCCATCAAGTAGCTTCCATCAAGACTTAAATTTTCCAAATACAAAACTAGAATTTTGACTTTGCTTTTTCAGTCGTGTACACTCATTAACTCTCCCCTCCTCCACCAATTCTGATTTTTTTCCCTCCCAGGCAGGGGTAAAGGGGTGATGGGTTTCTTCAACTCCAGGGTCGGACTCACTGGATGCCTTTCTTTAGCTCATTAGGAGGTGAATAGGTTCCTAGCAAGTAATCAAATATATGGGCAGATGAAGACTTTAAACCAAGTTAAGCAGTTTTTTAAAAAAGCATTAATTTGAGTAGTACAGGGTTTTTGAAGTAGGAATGTGGACCCGTGTAGGTGTTCTGAGATCCTTTTAATGGGGGTCTGCAAAATCAAAACTGTTTTGGTAACACCGTTAAGGCATTATTTGCTTCTTTCATTCTTTTCCACAAGTGTAAAGTAGAATTTTCCAGAAGTGGTGTGACATGTGATATAATAACCAATTGACTACAGGAGGACATGTGAGAATTTTGTTAAAATGTTATTTATATTAACATGCAGTAGACTTCTTCAGTTTTTTATTATGATAACGTGCACATAGTATAAAATGTATTAACTATTTTAAAATGTGTATTTCAGTCGTATTAAATACATCCATAATGTGCAGCCATCACCACCATTCATCTCCTGAACTCTTCATCTTGTGAAACTGAAACTGTATCCATTAAATTTGCCATTCCGTCTTCTCTCCAGCCCCTGGCAACCAACGTTCTGCTTTCTATCTCTATGCTTTTGAATATTCTAGGAACCTCATAGGAGTATGAGGTATTTGTATTTGTCTTTTTGCTGTTGATGTTGTTTAGTCGCTAAGTTGTGTCTGACTCTTTGCTACCCCATGGACTGTAGCCCTCCAGGCTCCTCTGTCCATGGAATTTCCCAAGCAAGAATATTGGAGTGGATTGCCAATTCTTTCTCCAGGGAACCTTCCTGATCCAGGGATCGAACACACATCTCCTGCGGCTCCTGCATTGCAGGATTCTTTACTGCTGAGCCAGCGAGGAAGCCCAAATATTGATAGATACAACCTGTATTTGGTTCAGCATAATCTTTAAGAATATAAAAGGGACCAAAAAGTGCAAGAACTGCTGACAAAGAATTTTTCAATCTGTGTTCTGAGGGACACGTGGTAGGACACAGCCTTGTCGGTTTGGGGTGAGATCATTTGTTGTTCTGGACCTCAGGTGTAAAGCTGGATTAATTATGTATGTTCCCTAGTTCATGGTACAGACTCTATTCGCTTATGTCCCCTTCTGTCCCCTGTCGCCACCCCACCCCCCCTTCTTGCTGTCTGTAGTCCCTAGTTTTGGATATCCATTGTTGTTCAGTCGCTAAGTCATGTCTAACTCTTTGGGATCCCTTGGACTTGAGCTTGCCAGGCTTCCATGTCCTTCACTGTCACCCGGATTTTGCTCAACTCATGTCTATAGAGTCGGTGATGCCATCTAACCATTTCATCCTCTGCTACCCCCTTCTCGTCCTGCCCTCAGTCTTTGCCAATATGAGGTTCTTTTTGAGTGAGTCAGCTCTTTGCATCAGGTGGGCAAAGTATTGGAGCTTCTTCATCAGTTGTTCCAGTGAATATTCAGGGTTGATTTCCTGTAGGATTGACTGGTTTGATCTCTTTGCTGTTCAAGGAACTCTCAAGAGTCTTCTCCAGCACCATAGTTCGAAAGCACCAGTTCTTTGGCGCTTAGCCTTCTTTATGTTCCAATTCTCATATCCCTACATGACTACTGGAAAAACCACAGTTTTGACTATATGGACTTTTGTTGGTAAAGTGATGTCTCTACTTTTTAAAATACTGTCTAGGTTTGTCATTGCTTTTTTTCCAAGGAGCAAGCGTCTTTTAGATTCATGACTGCAGTCACCATCCACAATGATTTTAGAGCCCAGGAAAAGAAAATCTGTCACTGTTACCACTTTTCCCATCTGTTTGCAATGAAGTGATGCCATGATCTTAGCTTTTCGAATATTGAGTTTTAAGCCAGATTTTTCATTCTCCTCTTTCATCTTCATCAGGAGGCACCTCTTCACTTTCTGCCATTAGAATGGTATCATCTGCATTTCTGAGGTTGTTGATAATTTCTGACAGTCTTGATTCCAGCTTGTGATTGAGCCATCCCAGCATTTTGCATGGTGTACTCTGCATATAAGTTAAATAAGCATGGTGACAGTATATAGGCTGGACATAATCCTTTCCCAAATTTGAACCAGTTTATTGGTCCATGTTCCATTCTGTTGCCTCTTGACTTGCATACAGGTTCCTCAGGAGGCAGGTAAGGTGGTCTGGTTTTCCCATCTCTAAGAATTTTCCAGTTTGTTGTGATCCACAGTCAAAGGCTTTGGTGTAGTCAGTAAAGCAGAAGTAGACGTTTTTCTGGAACTGTCTTGTTTTTTCTGTGAGCCAACGGATGTTGGCAATTTAATCTCAGGTTCCTCTGCCTTTTCTAAATCCACCTTGAACATCTGAAAGTTCTTGGTTCACATACTGTTGTAGCCTCACTTGGACAATTTTGAGCATTACTTTGCTAGCATGTGAGATGAGTGCAGTTGTGTGGCAGTTTGAACATTCTTTGCATTGCCTTTCTTTTGGATTGGAATGAAAACTGACCTTTTCCAGTCCCATGGCCACACTGCTGAGTTTTCTAAATGTGCTGGCATATTGAGTGCAGCACTTTAATGGTATCATTTTTTAGGGTTTGAAATAGCTCAGCTGGATTTCGATTTGGATTGCAAATTAGATAAAAATGATGAATAAATGAATATTTTCATTATATAATCTCTCCCCTTGTGGCATGGTTTCTGGGAGTTTTTTTCCCCCTTGTCTGTTTAAGTGTAAAATATTGTACCCATATTTGTATGAAGCCCCTCTTGTCAATTATAAAATATTTATAAAATGTTAAATAATTGTAACTAGTTGAGTTTTAAGTTTTTAAGATTTGTTTAAGTGCTTGTTTTCAACAGTGTCTCTTGTTGTCTGGGTGTTCACAAAACTGTTACCAGTGTCTGGGTGTTCACAAAACTGTTACCAGTTAATCTGTGATTACCAAATTCTTGGGCTTCCCTGATAGCTCAGTTGGTAAAGAATCTGCCTGCAATGCAGGTTGGATTCTTGGGTCAGGAAGATCCGCTGGAGAAGGGATAGGGTACCCACTCCAGTGTTCTTGGACTTCCCTTCTGGCTCAGCTGGTAGAGAATTTGCCTGCAATGCAGGAGACCTGGGCTCGATCCCTGGGTTGGGAAGATCACCTGGAGAAGGGAAAGGCTGCCCACTCCAGTATTCTGGCCTGGAGAATTCCATGGACTCTATAGTCCATGTGGTCTCACAGAGTTGGACATGAATGAGTGACTTTCACACCAAATTATTAAAATCCATAAATATTTATTAATTTATTTTTTTCTAGGTTGCAATAAAAATAATTGACAAAACTCAGTTGAATCCAACAAGCCTACAAAAGGTAAGATTGATCCAACAGCCAGTATTTTTTTAAAAAATGATTTTCAGTGCTAATTGCCATCTAATTTGTCCATTAATTACCTGTACTATAACTTTTATTGTGTTTAGTACACAGTAAAGCTTCCTCTTCCTCAGATGAATACTACTTAAATGTAATATTGTTTAAATGCAGTATTGTTCGATTTTTTCCTTCCTTTCCAGTTGAAGATAATGATTTTTAAAATGTACTTAATAGCACAAACTGAAGGCGGTACTTTCAAATTGAATATTCTAAATATTGACTAGAATAGAATTATAAAAAGACAGAAAAACGTATTTTCATGTAATTAGTCTTATGCAGAGTTATACATCTTTTACAGCTGTGATCTTTTTTCAAGTCGGCACTTTTAACTTTATTAAGCTATCACTATATGTCTACTTAAGGAGTGATGATTAATTCATATGAAAGGAAAAAAGTAAAACTGAACTGATAATTGAAAACATGTTTGTAATACACTGCTGCCATTTGCATTATCTGGTGTGGCTCAGAGGTTCTCTACGTGCTGCATGTTAAAATCACCTGGGCCTCTTTTCAAGGTCCTCATGGCCCTTGGGAAGATGTCCTTGCTCAGGCTGGGCCTGGTCATAGGTATTTCACTGGTGCATCAATGAGTGATTAGCACTCTTCATAAAAACATCCTTCTAGTCCCTTGTAGTTTTGCAAAGCCTTTTTGCATTCTTCATTAGATTTCTAGACTTGGCCTGTGGTAGCTGGAAGGTACGGAGACCTAGAAATAAACAGGAAGTCCTCTGCCACTTAACTGAGTGTCTCACTTGACCTTGAGCTAGTCACTTAACTTTCTGACATTGGGTTTCTCATCTTTAAAAACAGAGATAATTTCACTAAGTAAAGTAAGTCAGACAAAGACTAGTACCATATGATCTCACTTATATGTGGAATCTAAAAAACAAAACAGAAACAGACTTACAGAGAGCAAAACTGTTGGTTGCCAGAGGGGAATTGAGTGAAATAGGTAAGGAAGACTTAAGTGGTAAAAACTTCTAGTTATGAAGTAAACAAGTCATGGGGATATAACGTATAGCTTAAGGAACGAAGTCAATAATGTGATGATAATTTTATATGGTGACAGGTGGTTATTGGACTTAACATGGTGATCATTTCATAATGTATTTGATTGTCAGGTCACTATGTTGTATACCTGAAGCAAACATAATATTGTATGTCAACTAAACTTCAATTGAAAATAATAAAAAAATAATTAAATGGAGATTAAATCTTTTCATGATGGATTATATCCATGAAATAACACATAAAAGAGTTTTGTATACTGCAAAGCAATGTGTAAGATATTTTAAGTATAATGCCTTTTGTACATTTCTAATGTAGTTCCAATGGTTATTTTCCATTTACATCATGATTTTGAAATCCTATCCTTGAGGGGTGGGATAGAGGTTGAGGTGGGAAGTGAGGTAGATTTTATCTTGCACTGAAAATGTTATTTAAACAAGTGGTTCTGCAGGACATAGTGGGCTTTAAGGATTTTCAGGGTGGCCCTGAAAGGATCCAGAAATTCTAGTCCTTTGTTCTGAAGATGAAATTATATCCCTTTCCTTAAACTTTCATTTCTTCATGTACCTAGGGACTTGGTGCTAATTATTAGGTAAGGGGTTATAAAAACTTGGTGTTCAGAACTAAAATTAGTATGTAAAGAGGTTTGCTGAGGATTGTAATGATGTTGCAAATCTTCCATTGTTCAAGTGTACTTGTAAATAACTGAAATTCTAGCATTTTTCTAGGAAGAATTTTATCATAGTATTGAGTTGATTGCAATTTTTGTTTCATGCTTGATTGCTTTTTTCATTATTTTTGGTCATAGTTTTTAATTGCCACTATTCTTTTTTATTATCACAAATTACAGTTTGTCTTATCACTATCAATTCAGTACATGATAGGTTGTCTGGCTAGCTTGATAGTGAGATTATGCAGATTTGTTCAGCATTAATTTTGGCACATAAACAATAGATATGACTTTTAAGATTTGTTTGGTATGGTACAAGTATGAACCAGCCACAGAAGATTTATACTAAAGGAAGATCCATCGAAGTTAAATAATCTGAAAGGTGTAATATTTTCAGTTTTAGGACATTGTTTTAAACTGTAAATCATGTGTTCATATTCTTTTCTTATAAATTAAAAGCATCCTATAAATATTTCCTTCAGAATTCTTTTTCACTGAGTTTCTTTTCCATGGAAGAGTGGCAGCAGGGTGGTATAGCATCTTACGCTCCTGGAACAGTACTTCTTCTGATTTTCTTCCTCAGCGTCACTTACAGTTGTTACCACACCTGCATCAGCAGCAGAGCCCTTATATTGTGATCTTAAACTCTGGAGCTTGGTGTACAGCTTTAGGAGCTAACATTTACATTAAGGCGCATTCTGTCAACAGTATGCAATCTTTTTGTACTGCCACTGCCAAAAGTATGTGGACTGGTTCTTTCAGGCAGTGTTTGAACACCACTGTTAAGATAGTTAGTGTAAAAGTGTTCGCAGTATCCTGGCTCACACATAGATCATGTTTGATAAATGCAGATAAGCAAACCTGAGGTGATTGTGTATTTGTAAACTGACATTATTTTCACTGACAAGTTCTTCATTTCTCCTTTTAATTTTTCTAGCCACTGAGTGAATAAATGTTAGATTCTAGTAAGATATATCTTTCTCCATGGTTTTTTTTGGTACTACTTAATTTCTAAGTAGCTATCCCTGAGACATTTTTCTGTTTATAAATGTCTTTTAGGTCTGCCTTTAAAGAAATGTGTAACGAAAAAAAAAAGAAAAGAAATGTGTAACGTTGTGTACCTATAATGCTGTTGAAAACAACAGGAGTTTTAAAAATGTTAGTCTTCTTACTGGTTTTATAAAGTCATTTTTAGCTTTGATTTGGTTACACGCGAATGGTCTTGCAGCCTTGCTTTGTTTTGTGTGTCATAAAGATGCAAGTTTTTACTTTATTAAGACATGCCAGTGCACCAAGTGTGACCCACCCGAAGTTATTTTCTTTCCTAATCTTGGAGTAGTACTAACATAAAGAGAGGGAGTATAGAGTCATGGGTGGGAAAATGGTGAAGCCAGGCTACATGGATTCAAGTTTAGGCTTCAGCCTAGCCTAACTTTGTGACATGTCACCTCCCTGGATCTTCATTTCCCTGTTTTTAAAATGGAAATAATAACATTATCTCTAGGGCTCTGGTGAGAATTAAATAAGTTAACATTTAAAAGCCCTTAGAAGAGCTGAGTGTAGTTCCTGGCATATGCTAAGGACTGAGTGTTGTTATTGTGTATCCTGCTGAATGTTGATTTTGAGGGAGAGTAGAAGATTTTCTTTGGTTTTTTATTTTTGGAGTGTAGTTGATTTACAATGCTATTTTAGTTGCAGTGTACAGCAAAGTGAATCAGTTATGCATATATATGTATCTATTTTCTCTCTCTCTTTTTTTAATTCTTTTCCCAGAGATATTTCTGTTTGTTTCTTTAATTTTACCCTCACAGGAAGTAAGTAAAGCTTAAGAATTGAATTGTGGGTTCTGACTTGGGTCTCATAGGACCTATTTGCTGTAGACTACTTCTGATAATGGCTTAAATTTGCATGTTTAGTATAAAGTACTGTAGTAGTTTGCTCAAGGTGCTATAATAAAATACTGTAGACTGGGTGGCTTTATTTCACAAATTGTGTTTATTTCACACAGTTCTAGAGGCTGGAAAGTCCAAAATCAGGGTTGCTGGCATGGTCGGGTTCTGGTGAGAGCTTTCTTTTTGGATTGCAGAGAGCTGCCATCTCACTGTGTCTTCACAACAAAGTGGGGGGAAGGTGTGTGAGCACGTGTGCATGCTCTCTGATGTCTCTGCTTAAAAGGGCACTAATCCCATCATAAGGAAACACCCTCATGACCTCATCTAAACCGACTTAATTCCTGGATGCCCCATCTCCACATATCACATTGTGGAACAGTTTCATGAGGTAAGCTCTGTTATTCAGGAGAGAGAGGCCAGGAGGTAAAGTGACCTGCCCAGAGTCCCCTAACTGATAGATGTGTGAGCAGTCATTTCATGATGGGTGTAGTCAGTGTGGAGTTGAACTCTAAGTGAACTCTTAGTGAAAGCATGTTTAGCTCAGTTTAGATAACAAGAGTCCTCTCGTCCCTCATTGGATAGGATTTCATTGTCGTTAGATGCTAGAGTGTGTGCTTCCTGTGTCCCCACATACAGAGGCTTTCTCACACTAACTAGCCTGATGGATATCTTTTCCTCTTCATACTCTGTTAGGTGAGTATTGCTAGCATCTTGACTTTCCACTGAGGAGACAAACTGAACAGTTAATATAGTCAAGCTCTCCAGTTCGTAGGTGATGGAGCAAAGATGTAAATCTTAGTCCAACTCCAGAGCATGGACTCATTGCATTTACTTACGCTACCCTTCTGTGATTAAATTTCCCTCGTTGAGGTGGGAACTAACCTGAGACTTTTCTCTGTAGTGGTGGTGAAGAAGTTAGTTAATAATTTCAAATTTGAAGAAATATTCCAAGTACGTGAGAAAAGAAAGCCTTGTTCCCCACCTCCCCTTCTGAACTTTGCATAACTCATGTCTTAATGCAAATTTGTTTACTCTTTCACTTAACAAGCACTTCTAGTAAATACCTGCTGTGTGCCAGGCACTGTTCTAAGTACTGAGGATAAACATTGAACCAAATGAAGTTCTGGCTTTCATAGAATTGACATCATAATAGGGGAGTAGCAGTAAGCAGATACATGGTGTAATGTCATGTCAGTGCCATAAAGAGAAACAGAGCAAGATATATTAACTGTATTTTCCTATTTTTTGTATTCTTGATGCTCTGGCTGGTCTGGGAGAGAGTACTCCCAGAATTCGCCAGCTCCTGGAAATAGAAAACTGCTCCCCTGTGAGGACTGTTCAGGTGCAGACCAAGCAGTGCAGAGCCCATG